CCCCCCCAGCTCCCCCAGCCGCTCCTCCCCAGCCTTGGGCTCCAGCCCCTGCCCCAGCCTCGCTGCCCTGCTCTGGCCACGCTCCAGCCCCTCCATGGCCTTCTTGGGGTGAGGGGCCCAGCTCTGAGCACAAGGTGTATAGCATGAGGTGAATAGCTTAGAACATTAGGTGTATAGCTTAGACTTCTGACCTGACTTGCAAAGGGACGTTGAGAAGATTGTGCTTGCCTCTTGCAGGAACCTGCATCAACAACACGTCTGTGATGATGTTCAAAAAGGGGAGCTTTGAAATTGGAGCCACAGTTTACCCTGTAGCCATCAAGGTATGAGAAGGCAAACGTTCTTACAGGACAAGTAGCTCTCGGTGTGAGAGCTCAGCCCTGGCAGCCCAGTCTCGGCACGGCTGGGTCGACAGCCTGGTCTGAGGGCGTGGGGAAGCTGAGGCCGCTCCGTGTCGTGCTCTGGGAGGGCTGGCCTGTAGCTGGGCTTGGGGTGGAACGTGGAGCCAGGGAGGGTGCAACCGCTGCCTGACTTTAATAATCTCTTCTGCCTCGTTAGTATGACCCGCAGTTTGGAGATGCCTTTTGGAACAGCAGCAAGTATGGCATGGTAACCTACCTCCTCAGGATGATGACTAGCTGGGCCATTGTCTGCAGTGTATGGTACTTGCCCCCAATGACCAGGAAGGTAAGTAAGCTGAACCTGGCCTAGCTGATCTGCTGCCTCTTTGGCCCCTCGCTCTTGCTGAACAGTCTTATTTTGCCGCAGCCCGAAGAGGACGCTGTCCAGTTTGCCAATCGAGTGAAGTCAGCCATTGCCAGGCAGGGGGGCCTTGTGGATCTGCTCTGGTGAGTCGAGGCAGGCTTTTCTCTTCCTGGTGCCAGGTTTCCGTGTTCCTGGGTCCTGGTGCGTGCTTGTGGGCTGTAGAGCTAAGCTTGTGTCTTGTGTTGGGCAGCGTAGGCCTATGGAGAAATGGAGATGCATCTTGCTTGTGACCTCCAAAACTACTCTTCTGTAGCAGGGACCAAAATCTTTGTTTCTGTCTGTGTGTTGGGCACCAGGGCTTTATTCTGTGATTCCAGCTTGCACTGGGATGCCCTGGTTCTGACTTGATGCTACTCAGCAGAGTGGGTTGAGCCTAGGAACGTCCTTTTTCAGGCACTGAGATCTTCAGAGCCTGGGAGGCAGAGGGACTCTGCAGGCAGTCTACTGTAGTGGTATCGGAGCAGCTCATGCTCCTGACAGAGCTGCCATGTTGAGCACAGTGCGGGGCCGTGGGTGCAGCTTCTGGCAGAGCAAGGTGTAAAAGTAACTCCCCTTGGGGACAGTTGGTCTGCAGTGTGCCCGGGCAGCCTGAGGTACCAGTGTGGCTGTCCGGCTGCTGTGGGAGCTCTGGCCTGCTCTGAGCAGCCCCAGCTGAAGCTGCGGACAGTGCACGCCTGCAGCTCCTCTGATGATATGACTCTCTTCCCCAGGGATGGAGGACTGAAGAGGGAGAAGGTGAAGGACACATTCAAGGAGGAGCAACAGAAACTCTACAGCAAAATGATTGTAGGCAACCATGAAGACCGGAGCCGCTCCTGAGCCCTCTGCCTCCAGCACTGTTACTGGGCCTGGCCAGAGCCCTCGGCCTCCAGCACGAGCCAGGCCTTGTCTGAAGCAGCTCCGAATCTTTGGACTTTGGCTACTCCAGAGCTGCTTGGACTTGCTCCTTCATCCTCTGGCTGTTCTTCCCCGGAGGCACGATTACTGCCTAGAGTCTTTAGGCCCTGGGCAGCTCTTGGCAAAGATGCCTTCTTGTTACTGTTACAGTGAAGCCCCTCGCAGGGGCAGTATTAAATGAAACACTTATGGTGTCATATGCTTCCATATGGTGTTTACAGTCCCAGGGGGAGGACTGGTATGTTGATGTGCATGTGTGTCAGTCACAAGTCTCCCACGGCACAGAAGCTGGTGAGCTGCACTGAAATTAGCTGCCTTGGCAACCAAGGGAGTCTTCATGAGCCTGTGCCTCTGACATCTGCGGCATAAGCCCCGTAGGAGCAGTATGTGGTCTCTCAGGCCATTTCCAGCTTGACTTCCAGAAGGAGAAACCTTTCCTTTTGCCACCCTCCTGTCATAGCCTGACCCAGACCATTGCTTCTCCAGCATCTGAGTAACAGCCTCTTTGCTGGGCTTCTGCAAGCGGTGAGGATCATCCTCCGTGGAAGCCTCCCTCCGTCCCCTGGCACTGCAAGTTGCCAGGCAGGTGGCACCGGTGGAATCCGGTGACAACCCACTGGTCACTCGAGGAATCCCTGTGTGCTGTGGTGGGAGCCCGGGGTGGGTAGGAGAGTCTGAGACTCCGTGGCTGGGGCAGGAGATCCCCTTTCAAATGGCTCCTGAGGGAAACGGTGGGATCTGGTCTTTTAATGCACCAACATGCACATACATAATCTCAGCTTGTTGCAAGGAAGCTGAAATCTTGTGCCGGAGGTGCTACACCTTTCAGCTCTGCAAGTAAAACAGTAAAATTCAGTAAAACAGTAAAAAACAGTAAAACAGTTTTAAAAATCTGTAAAACAGTGAAAAAAACAGTAAAACAGTAAAATTCAGTAAAACAACTTGCATTTGAGCATTCATCCCATGTACTTTCCAATTTTCTTTATGTTCCCACAAACTTTAGCACCTTCCTTGGGTCCTCTGCCTGCTCTTAGACGCCAGTGCTGTTTCACTGCTGCCTGCAGAAGCCTGCTTGCGGTTTCTGGAAGGCTAGAGAAGGCGATACTTAAGTGCCCCGAGTGGTGGTGTTGGGGGGCATCTGCTGCCCCCAGGGCAGGACAGCTCTTCTGTGTAAGCGTCCTTACATTTGAGTTTCCCTGCAGTAGCTACCAACATGGGTTAAGGCAGTTTACAGCCTGCTTGGTTTTATTTGGGTAAAACACCTTTATACCAAGAGACAGAGAAAAGAAAGCAACAGAAAGAGTCCAGAAACTCCCCTAACCTTTCCCAAGAGACGTAACGCGCGTACCCTCACTTAGATTATCCAGCGCAAGCAGGGCGAGCACAACTTGTCCTCGTAGTTGAGGAACCCCATCTTCCACCGTGTGCCACTTCCCACCTACCCCAGGACAAATAAACTGAACTGTTCCCCGTACAAAACCTGAGAGGGTTACAGTGATGTAAAACTACACTTAATAGCAAATGCTCTGTTAATGTACAGTTATGGGAAATATTTCTATACTGAATTGATTTACCTTTGCTTCTTGTAGTGCTCAAAACGTGATCCTTTATAAATATGCACGCACGGACGCGTTACCTACACTAACATTGCATTCAATTCATAGCATCATAGAATGGCTTGGGCTGGGAGGGCCCTTAAACATCACCTAACTCCAACCCCGTGCCACGGGCAGGGACGCCACCCACCAGCCCAGGCTGCTCAGGGCCCCGTCCAACCTGGCCTTGAACCCTGCCAGGGCCGGGGCATCCACAGCCTCTCTGGGCAACCTGGGCCAGCGGATCGCCACCCTCACAGTAAAGAATTTCTTCCTAACATCTCATCTACATCTCCCCTCTTTCAGTTTGAAACTGTTCCCCCTTGTCCTATCGCTATCTGCCCTTATAAAGAGCCTCCCCCTCTTTTATACAAGCCCCCTTTAAGTACTGGAAGGCTACTATGAGGTCTCCCTGCACCCTTCTCTTCTCCCGGCTGAACAACCCCTGCTCTCTCAGCCTGTCTTCGTAGCAGAGGTGCTCCAGCCCTCTGAGCATCTTTGTGGCCTCCTCTGGATCCGTTCTAAAAGGTCCACATCTTCCCGTGCTGAGGACCCCAGAGCTGGGGGCAGGGCTCCAGGGGGTCTCCCCAGAGCAGAGGGGCAGAATCCCCTCCCTCGCCCCGCTGGCCACGCTGCGGGGGATGCAGCCCAGGATGCGGTTGGCCTTCTGGGCTGCCAGCGCACATTGCCGGCTCATGGCCAGCTTTTCGTCCCCCAGCACCCCCAAGTCCTTCTCTGCGTGGCTGCTCTCAATGAGTTCTTCTCCCAGTCTGTTCTCATGTCTGGGATTGCCTCAACGCGGGTGCAGGACCTTACACTGGGACTTGTTGAACCTCATTCGTTCATACGGGCCCACTTCTCCAGTGTGTCCAGGTCCCCCAGATGGCATCCAGTCCTTCAGGTGTGTCAGCTGCACCCCTCAGCTTGGTGTCACCTGCAAACTCGCTGAGGGTGCACTCGATCCCGCTGGCTGTGTCATTGATAAAGATACTGAACAGCACCGGTCCCAAGACAGAGCCCTGAGGGACACCACTCGTCACCGGTCTCCACCTGGACACAGAGCCATTGACCGCAACTCTCTGGATGCGCCCATCCAGCCAATTTCTTATCCATCGAATAGCCCACCCTTCAAATCCATATCGCTCTAATTTAGAGATAAGGGTGTTGTGTAGGACTGTGTCCAAGGCTTTACAGAAGTCTAGGGAGATGACACCAATCGGTCTTCCCTTAGCGACTGTTGCAGTCACTCCATCATGGAAGGCCACCAGGTTGGTCAGGCACGATTTGCCCTTGGTGAATCCATGCTGGCTTACTCGGATCACCTCCTTGTCTTGCATGTGCCTTAACATTGCTTCCAGGAGGATCCGCTCCATGATCTGCCCAGGCGCAGAGGTGAGGCGCGCTGATCTGTAACTCCCCAGGCCCCCCTTCCTACCCTTTTCAAAAGTAGGGGTGCTGTTACCCTTTTTCCAGTCCTTGGGGACCTCACCTGACTGCCGTGATGTTTCAAATATGACAGAGAGTGGTCTTGCACCTCCATCAGCCAGTTCCCTGAGGACCCTGGGATGTACGTCACCAGGTCCCATAGGCTTCTGTTTGTTTAGTTTTATCCGATGGTCTCGGACTTGCTCTTGGCTGACAGGGGGCCCCTCGCTCCCCCAGCCCTCTCCTAGAGGTTCTGGTACTTGGGGGTGCAGAGAGCCCGGCTGCCAGTGAAGACTGGGAGGAAGAACTCATGGAGCAATTATCAGTGATCTGTTACACCTGATCACCGTTAACATCAGCCTCACCAAGAGAAACCAGGCTGTTCTTGTTTGGTGATGGAGACGCCCTTTTGGCCCCATGCTTTTCACTGTTACCCCAGTTTCTTGTTCTTCTGCCCAACTTCAGCTATGGCAATTGATCGGGGGGGAAGAAAAAGCAGCAAAGCCTGGTATCTTGTCCTTTCCACTTAAGGTAACAAAGGAAAAAAACCAGATGAAGGCAAGCAGGGCAGGTTGCAGTGCATTGCTTACGCTCCTGTGCTACCAACAGAGGCCAAACCAACTGCTGGTCACTACCAGACAGAGCTCAGGTACCCAGGCTGGGCCCCCGCCTTCACGACGAGTTCGTTATGGCATTAAGGGTCTATTCACCAGCATTTTGGTTTACTTGTTTTACTACCCAGCTTACTAGGTACAGCTCCTAACACCAGTTCACCAGCCCCCCATCTGTGTCTGTTACCGATGGGGCTGTTGCTTTGCTACTTAAAAAAAAAAAAAAGAAAAGAAAAGCGCAACCCTTGTCTCCTTGGCGGTTGTTACATTTATGCAGTTTTTGAGCATCATCTTTTAGTTGTATAAGAAATGCTGGGTATAGCACACACCTTATGGGAGTTAACCTGTAGCGTGGTTAAGCTTCAGTAACCAAGCAGGTGTGTGTTACCCTGTGGTACCTGCCTAGACCGTTTAATCACAACATTTTACGAGCTGTGTTTGCCCTGTTTCCTGCTTGAGTCACCTGCTTGCCCGAGAAGCTATTGCTGGCCGCCCTGGCAGCGCCTGGCTGGGGGTGACGGCCTGATCCGGCCCCAGTTTTGCCTGCCTGAGCTTTGCTGCTCTGGCCCCAAGGCTTGCAAAGCTTTTCCCTTGCTCGGGGCAGGAGGGGGTCGTTTGGCCTAAGCCCCCCGCCGTGCCGTGGTCTGGCCAGCTCTGGAGGGTGCCCTGGCCCCAGAGAGCTGTGGGGTACCCAGGCAGAGCCGCGCTCTCTGGGTCCCGCGGGTGCCCCTTCCCCACGTGCTGAGCTGCAGCCGGAGCCATAGCACCGGGCTGGGGATGTGGGCATCGCTGCCAGCCTGTCCCCCTGCCTGGACAGGGTCCCCAGGCTCTCCTTCGCCTTTCCCCAGCCAGCAGCGCGCTCCTGAGCACGCACCCACACCCTGCCCTGCACCCAGAGCTCCCATCGCGGGGCGGGTGCAGGCATTGCCTTCAGGCTCCGCAGCCTCAGACCTGGCTGCCGGTGCCCACTAGTCTTCTGCCCACGCCTGGCTCCCCTGGCCCCTGTCACAGGTGCCGTGGTGACGTGCGGGAGCCCTCCCTGCCTGCCCGCCCGCCTCCCCAGCCTTGCGGGACCTCCAACCGCCCCGCCGAGCTCGGGGGGCAGCCCCGCTGCTGCCGGGATGCTCCGCAGCAGGCAGGGAGCTGGCCGGACAGGTTAGGAGGCACACATCCATCTTTCCTCGGCTCCCCCTCCTCATGCCCCCAGTCAATACGTCTCTCTCCGATGGGAAAGTTAATAAATTTAGCTCTAGATTAAAAGTATCGATCATTTCATTTGTAAGCGATAAATAACCGGGGGGAGCGCTGGGCGGCCCGCGGGGCAGGGGCTGCTGGCTCTGGCTGCAGCAGCCATGCAGCCCGCTGGGGCTGGGGGCCCTCATATGCATTCTGCCCGGATGCTGGCATTGATTTGCTATTAGTCTCCCCGCACCACCCAGTAGCACATCATTCCCGGAGCCGCTATTAATGGCCTTTTGATAAATAATCACTTGTAAGTCAATAAATTTTTATTAAACAGTGTGGCGCTTTGATTTATGAAAATCCGACGGGGTTTGTCTGGGAGAAAAGGGATGCAGAATTGAAGCGGAGCTGCTATCCATCTGCCTGCCAGGCCGCCCTGCCTGCGCTCGCACCCACACGCCCCCGGAGCAGCCGGCCCCAAGCTCTGCCGTGGGCTCGGCAGGAGCCCTGCCCGCACGCCCCAGCGCTGCCCAGCCCCAGGCTGGCCCCGGCTGCAGGGTGCGAGGTGGCTTCGGGGAGGGCAGAGCTGGTGCTCGCCCTTGGCCAGGCTCCGCGTGCCCTGTTGAGACCCCAGCGCTGGCCGGGGACCGCTCTCCTGCAGCAAGCCACAGCAGCAAGCGGCCGCGCCGTCTGCGTGGCAAGCGGGACCGCAGGAGCAGCGGTCCTGAGGAGGGTGGTCCCGGCCACCGCCCCGGGGCCCTGCGCAGAGCAGCACTGCTCGGGGGACCCGTCCGGCTGCGGGGATGCACGGGGCAGCCAGGCTGCGGCTGCGATTTGTCACTCTCCCCGGCTGCAGCAGGCCCTTTGCCACCTGCTTTATTTGTCTCCCAGCCCTGACGTGGCATCAGACAGGTGTTAAACTACTTAATCACTTTAAAATTGTTTTAATTTTCTGTTTTGTATTGATCTCCACAGCACCAATTAATCAGCTCACTGGACCAGGCAGTTAGTACATTAAAAATTGTCAGCCACGCTGGGCAGCTTAGAAAATGTCAAAAAAATATCCCGACAGCAGTCCCGCACTTCTCCCACCGTATGGAGCCTGCTCCTGCCGAGCGCTGGCTCTGCCCACGGACGGTGACGTGGCTCTCCCGGCCCTGCCACGGGGCCGAGGCGCGTGGGGCACGCAGCCGCCGCCGCAGCACTGTGCACCGCGCTGCCCGTGGGACCTGGCCTCCCACGTTCTCACAAAGGGTCCGTCCGCTCTGCTACCCTCTGGCATTTCTCCCATCGAGGCAGCAGAGGGGCTGCGTGGCTGAGGGGGAAGAGTTACGAGCCCCATGCTCGCTGCGGGGCTGGACGGGGACCTGCAGGAGGAGATCAGCCTTCCCTAAGCCCTGGGAAAGGGCTGCTCAGTGATCAGGGCTCCCTGCAAAGTCACCCCAGTCCAGCACGTGGCAGAAAGCGACAGTTTGGAGAGGACTTGAAGCCAAACGTGGGTCTTGGGGCCCAGGCAGACGGTGACAGTCTGCAGCCCCACACCATGGCTCCCTGCCACAAGGCTCGTGCTCACGGCCGCTGCAAAGCCCCAGCGCTTCAGGGGCTTTGGCCATCCCCAGGGGTGGACTTGGCCACTGGCCTGTCCTCAGATGCTGCCTGCAGCCGCAGGGGAGGGCAGCTTGGGTTGCAGCCCCCAGCACCTCCTCCGTGCCTGTGCCACGCTGCTAATCAGCCTATGATGGGCCGGCAGCACCTTATCTCCTATCGATTTCCTCCCAGGACACGGCCGGTCTGTTTGCTCACACCTGGCTGGCACTTAGTTGGCTCTTGGCTGAACAACTGCCGAGCTTGCCGGGCCCCCAGCAGCGTGCCTGGGCCAGCAGGAGCCCCTTTGGCATCCTGAGCGGCTGGGGACAGACGACCCTATGTGGCACCCACCACTGGCGTGCAAGAGCTGAGCCGCGGGGAGCCAGAGCAGGGGGCACGCGAACATGTGTGCACACCCGTGTGCATGTGCGCAGCCCCCGCCGCACAGGGTGCAGCACGGGGGGGAGGTCCACGAGGTTGGCAGCAAACACACCGGGGCTATTGACGCCGCATCAATCCTGCGGCCCCGACAGGTGAATGGGCTCTCACTCACACCGTTAAGATAAATGATATTTATTTGCTGCTAATAGGTTCCAACAAGAGGCCCCAACGAGTGACTTTTGAACCAGCACCTCTTGCTGCCGGTGCACGCCCAAACCAGGGAAAACCCTGGGAAACATCCCCCGGGCTGCCCTGCTCCCGTGGGCTCCTCCTGCCCCCCACACAGCACCACAGCCACGGCCCCTTCCCCTGCCTGGCACACAGACCCTGCCCCGTGCGTGCTATCCCAGCCCCTTCTCCGGCCCAGCCTCACGAGGGCACCCTGGACCGCGCGCCCACGAAGCAAGCGCTGGGACTTGGCTGGGGCTGGGACCTTTATTTCGTCAATGCTGACAGCACGGCCGCGCCTGACGCTGCCCACGCGTGCTGCTGCCAGCCCTGCGAGCCATGATCCCTGGGCGGGAGCCACCAGGAGCGGGGCGGCAGCCGCCCCATCCCCGCAGCCGGGCGTCTGCTGGGGGGTCACCCCCCTGGCAAGAAGCAGGTGGCCAGGCCGGGTGCCCCCTGGCCCAGAGGGGCGGGCTGTGCCAGCGCTCAGCCGCTGTGCGTGCCCAAGCCCAGCACCGAGAAGGCAGCGCGGTGCTTCCTCAGCAGCAGCCGGATCTTCTCGTCATCCGAGTCGGGGTCCAGGGGCTTGTTGTACTCGTCGTCCTCGGTCTCAGAGGCTGCCCGCTCTCCGCCAGAGCCCCCTGCCCGCTGCGAGGATGAGGAGGGCTCCAGGGCGCTCTTCTTCCTCCATTTGGTCCGTCGGTTCTGGAACCAGACCTGCCGCCCCATGGGAGCGGCTCCCCCCGCCCTCTTCTTCCTCCATTTGGTCCGTCGGTTCTGGACCCAGCCCTGCCGCCCCATGGGAGCGGCTCGGTTAGCAGCCACCACGCCACGCGCCCCGTGCCACGCAGGGACCCACACTCACCTTCACCTGGGACTCAGTCATGCCAAGGGAATAGGCCAGCCGTGCTCTCTCCGGACCCGCCAGGTACTTGGTCTGCTCAAAAGTCTTCTCCAGAGCGAAGATCTGGTGCCCCGTGAAGGTTGGGCGCGTGTGCTTCTTCTTATGGATGCTGTCGGCCAGGTGAGCGGGCGCTGCGGGAGAGGAGGAGGAGGGAGGTGGGTGAGCACCTGGTCTCTCTGCAGTGCACGGCTCTGGGCAGCTCTCCCCTTCCCGAACACGGCACCAGCACACCCACCAGCCCTCAGCGCCCACAGGGTCCCTCCACGCTGGCTCCCCTCCAAATTAAAACTGTATTCTGGCTTCAAGGCTTCAGCCCCATCCCAGGAGGGCCGAGTTGTGCGGGCCCCACACAGCCAGAGCCGGGCCGTGCACCTCCTGCTCGCAGACAGAGCTCATTTGTGGCACTGAGAGGGGAAGGGTTCTCAGCAGCAGTGCCTGACCCCAGAGCCATGCAGCACCGGGAACACCGTGCCCCCATGCCCCACACCTTGCAGGATGCATGATGGGAAGGCAGGCAGAGCTGGTCCGTTCGTAGCTGTGCTGGGAGCGGAGGGCCAAACTGGATGACCCCTCTGCTCCAAGAGCATCACCTGGAGAAGTGGGAAGGGGACCACGGCTGCAGGTGCTGAGCGGCTGCACCCAGCCCCTGGCCCAGAGCCTCCCGGGACTCCCCACGGGACAGGGGGTGCACCCATCCTGCCCACCCTCTGCCACAGCAGCAGCATGCTCTGCAATCCCCCTGCCAGCTCTCCACCAGGCAGGCAGTGCTGCCAGCCCAGGGCCAGCCATCCTGCCTGTCTCTGCCCCGAGCTGGCCTGGGCGCTGACCCCAGCAAGGCTGCCGGAGGGACGGGGGATCTCCAGGATGGTGGGCTCTGCCTGTCCTTGCCAGCTGTGGCTTGCCTGGGGGCTCAGCAAAGAGTGGGGCTAAGCAAAGAGTTAGGCTAAGCAAAGAGTTAATCTCTGCCGTTGGAGCTGCCCCGAAACCTCTGCGGCAGGGCGGGGGCCGGGCGGTCCCCCCC